AGCTGGGATTTGGTAGCAGACCTCCGCAACAATAAATTAAAGTAAGAGTTATGGTAGTAAATTCATACGGATGGCTAAACGGAGTTACGCGATGATATAAATATTCGTGAATTCAACAAAGTACCGAGCGAAGAACTTCCGTATACTCATAGATGCCCAAAGGGACATCTTATCAAGCTCTACATATGAAGCCTAGAGATTGGGCACATTTACAAGGTCAAAATTGTACAGGCTGCATGATGAAAGGTAGAAACAGTTACGAGATTGGAAGGATTCCAACTACAAGTTGTGGTGTGAGAAGGAGGCCTAAGGGGGTAATACCCTAGACTTTGGACTCATTCACAGAATAGTCGCCTAGATGGCAAGGGAAGTTCTAAAGTATTCGAAAGATATAAGTTATGAAATGATAAGTGCACCAGTCATCATTCGAGGACAAATATTTCAAAGGGGGGAATAATGTTACACCCCGCAGTATTACGTCGATGTTATGCTCTACAGTATTAAGTTATGACCACGTAGCACCCTGAAGTATTGTACGTTAAATTTGTCGTAAGGTAATTAACATCAGTCCAAAGAATAGATTATTTGGAGATTATAAGGATTATGTTATTTCACAAACGATTAGTAGATTCATGAAGGTGAAAGGGGGGAGCAAGTCAAAGAAAATGAATTTTTGTCCAAGTTTGGCATATTGGGATAAAATACGGCCCGAGCTAAAATACCCGATAATTATGAACTAGTACCATGCAAGGTACCATATGACCACGGTAGTACAATATATAAAGTATATATGAAGTATTTTAAAAATAAATAGAATTTTAAGTAATTTATGGTAATTCTTAAATTATGCGGGTAATTGATTAATTACCGGGTAATAGAATATTACCCAATTAACTAATAAGTGAATAAAAATTAATAAATTAAACCCCCACCCCACCCCCACCCCACACGTGGCAAAAAGCCACCAAGTCAAAAATGTGACTAAGAAGTCACTTATGCAAGATGTCACCTATGAGAATGATGACTAACCAAGATATCTTTATCTGCTAAGATTCAATATGAATCAAAGGAAATTCTTTCAAAACTTAAAGAACCAGAAACGTTTTTCTTTTCAAGACTTCAAGGGAACCAAAAACTTTACTATCCTAAAGTAAAGTAATATCCATCTTTCTTGGTTTGAAATCAAGAACTTGGAAACAGAAGCTTCAAAAAACGTTGGAACAAGCTTAAAGTTAAAATCCAGTCTTTAGTTTAAAAACGTTCAAAGCAGAACAAATTCATCAAGGAATTCAAATGTAATTTCGTTCATATTTAGCAGAAGCAGATTCTTTCAAATAATTCAAGAAACAGGTATGTTAAGGTTAAGTTCTTCTTTTATTTTGCATGATCTCGTAATTACACAAGTTTGATAACGAGGCATACAGAAAATTTCATATCCCAGAATTTACGTATATTTTGCTAGTCTCGTAAATTGCGTATATTTTTCCAGTTTTGTAAGTTACAATATTCTCCTTACTGGGACTTCATATTCAATTAAGTATTTTCTTATTCCAATCAAGAGAGCAGAGAGTATATATGCAGTATTAAATTATTTTCATTACCATCGAGATATAATCAATGGGCAGGCCCCTATTGGGCAACCTCTGATCAGATGGTAAGTTATATACCGAGCATACTGTGGCCGGGCGCCTATGAGCGGGCCTAGTTGGTCGAGATACAGAGCCTAGTATGGCCGAGCGCCTATGAGCGAGCCTACTACGACAGAGCAGTTTTTTATATATATATATATATATATACCGAGCCTTATAGAGCGGGACATCAATTTTACTTACTATATTGAGAGAGTTGAGTCAGTATCAGCAGGTAAGCATATCTTCAGATTATCTTTGACTTCCAGTTACTTTCAATTATTATATTATCAGTTCAGTTTCAGCTTTCAGTATATTGCCTTATATACTCGGTACATTTTTTCCTACGGACGTTCCTTTTGCCTGGAGTCGCTGCATTTCATGCCCGCAGGTCCCGATAAATAGGTCGAGAGCCCTCCAAGTAGGCTATCAGCTCAGCGGAAGATGTTGGTGCGCGCCATTTGCTTCGGAGTTGCTTGTTTGGTTAGTATGATTTAGACGTGTATTGTTTGGTATGGCGGGACTCTGTCCCGACCTTTATGACATTTATGTACTCTTAGAGGCTTGTAGACATATGTCGTGTACGTGAAAGATTGTATGGCCTTGTCAGCCTATGTTTTGAGTTTATAAATGATTATGTTGGCCTATTAGGTCCGTATATCACGTGTATATGATGATGTAATAAGAAAGATACTTTACGTTGGTACTCGGTTGAGTAAGGTACCGGGTGCCCATCGCGGCCCATCGGTTTGGGTCGTGACAGGAAAGCTTTTATGACGGGAATTCTCTGCCGCTATTTTTCGAATATAATCATGTCTTCTTCAGAGCCGATGCGACGTACATCATATCTATTTAATGCCCATTCTACGTAGCTTCTAACGATTGGTTCTGTAGTTTCACAGTGCTTTTTAGAGTTTTTTTGGGACCGCATCAGTCACAAAGTGACGTTCCATTATGACGCGTCATAATGACCAACTTTAACAATGGTCGTATCTCCTTATAAATACTCCATTCTTTTTTGATTTATTGGAGTCTTTCCTCTTCCATATCCATCACCTTCTTCTTGCTTTACATTTTTCTGCGTCTTTCTTCTGTATTTTTTTGAACATGTCTTCCCCAGATCCCCGTAAGGTTTTGATTGTTGACGAGTTTGTTCCTTATAATGCTCCCACTAGAAGTAGGAGGGGTGGTAGGCTTCGTAGTCTTGGTTCAATATCCAACCTTGGTTCCTCTTCTTAGAGTAATGCTACTAAGCCATCTTCCTCTAGGCCTAGGGCTCCTTTGAGCCCTAGCTCTTCTTCTAGAAATAGAGGCTCAACTGTTCCTGTGCGCGAATCCACAGTTGCAGAGATTGTTCCTCAAGAATTTTGTTTTGTAACTGATCGTGAAACCATAAGAAACCAAGTTTCTTCCATGGCCTCCCTCAATCTTGCTGACCTTTACCCGAGTTTGATTACTACCGGTCTTCTTTCCCTTGTTCGAAGAGAGTGTTACTGGAAACAAGAATTTCTAGTTTTAGTTCCTGGTGCCAACCAGAGAATTACTTCCTACCATGTTGGTTTTTCTTTTGTCTATACCTACCCCTTCACTTTAGGGTTAAAACCTTCTATTGATCCAGTAATCCTTGAATTTTACCGTTATTTCAACGTGTGTCTTGGCCAGATTGGCCCCATAGTATGGGGGGCTGTTGCATGCCTTTGTTATTTAGCAGAATTGTTTTCCGTGCCATTATGGAGGACATTATGGAGGTATTTATGGATGATTTCTCCATGGTGGGGGATTCATTCGAGGCCTGTCTTCACAATAAGAAGAGTGCTCAGAAGATGTATGGAGACAAATTTAGTGCTGGATTGGGAGAAGTGCCATTTTATGGTACTAAAAGGGATAGTCTTGGGGCATCGAATGTCCAGCAAAGGAATTGAGGTTGAACAAGCTAAGGTTGAGGTGATTGAGAGGTTACCACCGCCCACTTCGGTCAAGGTAGTGAGATGTATCCTTGGGCACGCCGGGTTCTACAGGTGATTCGTAAAAGATTTCTTTAAGATTGCTAACCCCTTATGTAAACTCCTTGAAAAGGATCAGCCCTTTGTGTTTTCTAATGATTGCAGGTTAGCATTTGAGGAGCTGAAAAAGAGATTGGTGACTGCACCCATCATTGTTGCACCCAACTGGGAGCAACCGTTCGAGCTCATGTGCGACGCAAGTGACTATGCTATAGGAGCAGTCTTGAGCAGCAAAAGAATAAGCTGATGCACCCAATTTATTATGCAAGCAGAACGTTAAGCTGTGCACAACTCAATTACACCATGACGGAAAAGGAGATGTTGGTTGTAGTTTTTGCATTCGACAAATTCAGGTCGTACTTGATTGGTTCAAAAGTTATTGTTTATACTGACCATGCAGCAATTAGGTACTTGATAGCAAAGAAGGAGTCAAAGCCACGCTTGATCCGCTGGGTTCTTTTGCTACAAGAATTCGATCTGGAGATCCGTGACAGAAAAGGGACAGAGAACCAGGTAGCAGACCACCTCTCAAGGTTGGAAGGAGCTGAAAAGAAGGTAGAGGTTGAAGATATAACAGAGACATTCCCGGATGAACAGTTACTAACAGTGACAATGGAGGAGACACCATGGTATGCTGGTATTGCTAATTATTTAGCAAGCCGCATTGTACCTTAAGAACTCTCTTCAATTCAAAAGAAAAAGTTCTTTCGCGATTGTCGGTTTTATTACTGGGATGAACCTCTACTTTTTAAAATATGTGTAGATAACATGATCCGGAGGTGTATCCCCGAGAAAGATCAACCCTCTGTTTTGCAGGCTTTCCATGCTTCACCATATGGTGGACACTTTGGAGGGATTCTGACAGCAGCTAAGGTGTTGGAATCGGGTTTGTATTGGCCAACTCTGTTCAAGGATGCCCATGCTTGGGTGAAAAGTTGTGACGAGTGCCAAAGGACAGGCAACATATCTCGACGTCACGAGATGCCGATAACTACTATTCAAGAGGTGGAGGTATTCGAAATGTGGGGGATTGACTTTATGGGGCCATTCGTCAGCTCGTATGGTAACAAATGCATACTGGTTGCAGTTGACTATGTCTCCAAATGGGTTGAAGCTGTGGCTCTCCCAACCATTGATGCAAAGGGGTGACAGGCTTTCTAAAGAAAAACATCTTCACACGTTGTGGCACCCCGAGAGCTATATTCAGTGATGGTGGAACCCATTTTTGCAATAGAGCATTCGCACGGTTGTTGGAAAAGTATGGAGTTCGCCATAAGGTGACCACCCCTAAGTTGAAGTGTCAAATTGGGAAATCAAAAGTGTCCTAACCAAGACAGTGAATGCGATAAGGACTGATTGGGCGAAGAAGATGGATGATGCATTATGGGCGTACCGTACAACATTTAAAACTCCAATTGGTATGTCACCATACAAGTTGGTGTTTGGAAAAGCATGCCATCTTCCGGTGGAGCTTGAGCATAAAGCCTTATGGGCACTGCGGAAGTTGAATTTGGATATGAAAACTGCAGGCACAAGCAAAGTTACAGAGTTGCATGAACTCGAGGAATTCCGGTTCCAAGCATTTGAGAGTGCAAGATTATACAAAGAAAAGATGAAGATGATGCATGATAAGCACATTGTACATCAGAATTTCAAATCCGGAGATCTAGTGTTGTTATACAACTCAAGATTAAGATTGTTTCCGGGTAAGCTAAAATCTAGATGGTCAGGACCATTTATAGTTGTGCAAGTATTCTCCAGTGGAGCAGTAGAAATTGAGCCTGAAGATGGAACGAATAAGTTTAAAGTGAATGGCCGAAGGTTAAAACACTACCTTGGAATGATTGAAGAAAAAGGGGATAAAGATGTGATGTACTTGGAAGATCCCTAATATGTGAGCAAAGTGTAATCCTAAAAGCCTGTGTCGTGCCGCGACGTTAAATCAGGCGCTTCCTGGGAGGCAACTCATGGTCTTTTTGAAAATCGTCATGCCGCGACGTTAAATTAAGCTCTTGTTGGGAGGCCACCCAAAGTTTGTGATTTCATTCTTTTTTCTTTTTTTTTTGATTTTGATTTTGATTTTTGGGGTGTATGACATGTTTGCAAGTGTTGCAGGTATATAAAAAATGTGCAAGGAAGCATCGCTCAAAAAGAAAAGATAAAAAATATGCGGCTGAGCGTGCCAAGTCTAGCACATTGCACGAATGTTGGCACGCTAACAATGGTACCAACTTCACAAAACAGTGAAGTACAGGGAATTGCACTAGACCTGGCACGCTCCCAGAAAAGTTACATTAATAAAATTTAAAAAAAAAGGAACAAGGGAACTGAGTATAACCCAACTCCCCGCCCCTCTTGCCACCACCAAAACCCCTCCCCTCCTCGTCGGCCAGCCGGTAAAAAACGTTCCCCCCCACCCCATAATTTTTTTTCTTTCCTCTCTTTATTCTCCTTCCCCTATTACACCCTCTTAGGTTAGTTTTATTTTCCTCTAGTCTTCTTTTCTCTCTCTTTTTTTTTCTGTGTTGTTTCTCTTTGTTGTATTTCGAATTTGGGGGCATTCTAACTTGCTATTGGTTGATTGTTGCTCATAGTGAGGTGGGTAACTATAATTCCCACCACCTCACTCTAATTGGGAGGGTTTTTAACTACAATTTGAACTACAAATAGCTTGGGAAGAGTAGGCACATCACATGTTCGATGAATTGCCCGAATGAATTGTTATGATAGGTTTAGCAAAGTCTGAGTAGCGAATCTAAATCTAACGGCGACATAAGCATATTTTGAGTGTGGGGTGGCTGTTTAGAGGTCGTTGGACTGAAATTCTTTTCGCTTTGAGCGAATGTACAACCACAGCCGACTTAGGCACAAGTCTTGCGCGACTCGTGCATCGCTGTTGCCCACTTGCTTTCCATTGTGATAACTAATATTTGAATAGATTCTAGTGTTTTCTAGTAGTGGCTCGTGACTCGTTTGCAAGTGTATGTTCAAGCGTGCAGTATAAGGTGCGATGCACGCAACTTTGCTTTGAACTTGCAAGCCTAGCTAATCTAGTTTGGTGATTCTTTTGCAGGTACTATGACTACTTCTAAGAAACCTACCCGTAGCTACGGCGCAGGAGGACATGGAAAACCTATTCTGAAAAAGCTGCAGAATGAGGCACGCACGAAGAATGTGCATGACAGAGCTGTGCCGGAGAATGTTGCGGTGGTATCTGAGGCCACCACAGTGCATATGGAGCCGCATGCCCCACCACCACTGAGGGCTCAGTGAGCATGACAATCTAGGCCTAGACAGGTCCCTTTTCAAGTTAGGGAAGGCAATTCACAACCACAACATGCTAAGAAGCGTAAGAGGACAGAGGTTCAAGGAAAAGGGAAAGCAAAGAAAGTAGTTGACTCCAGCTCCGAGGACGATGATTTTGAGGAGGATGATGAGTTCGAGGACGAGGTCCAGCCACCAAAAAGGGAAGGAGGAGTTGCCCGAATATTGTGACTGATATTGAAAAGAGAGGATCGACGTGCTTTGATCAAGGGCCTAAAGGTGATGCCAACCTGACACTTGAGCGGGAAATATATGCAAATTGGAATCCGAAACGAGGTGATGACATGGTTTGGGTCTGTGGACAGATGGTAGGTATTTGTGCAGCTGCTATCAACAGATACTACTGCGTTCGCCCACAATTTGTGTCTAAGTACTTGAGGAACGCACAGAAGCCAAACATTAACCACATGCTTGCTATTCTAACTGATAACACAGGAAGATCTAAATTTGATGCCAAAAACAAGTTGATAAAGACATACTTCAACAAAGAAGCCCGATCATGGTTGAACTGGATCTCCTCCCGGTTGATGCCGGCCACTCACAAGTCCGTTGTGATTTGGCCACGAGTATTTCTTGTATATTCCTTGATGATAGGGATACCAATCAACATTGGTGCGGTCATGCGAAGTCAAATACAAAAGACCCGCACTAACATGCAGTGGACGCTCTACTTCACCCACACTTTGACTGCATTATGTGAGAAGTTCAAGTTAGGTAAGGCGACTGATGAGTTGAGCAAGGGCATAGAGGATCAACTCCATGACTACTGCCACGTCCAAGACCCGAATGAAAAAAAGTTAAAAAAATTGGACTAGGGTAATAGAATAGAGACTATGGAGCGTGAGATCCACCAGTTGAGGTTGGACTTAGAGGCACGGGATCGTATTGCAGGATGCTCAGGATGTCAGAGATCAATGGATGCGAGAGCAGTTTGTCATGCTTCTTGATGCAGTTCGTGGGGTAAGACATATAAGGCATGCTGGAGTCCAAACGGATTTTGATGCGACCTTGATGAGTGCTACTGAAGACACCTTTACTGATGAGCAGACCGAGTTCGCGAGGAGGTTGTGATAGAGGTTGCCTCGACTAGGGAAGGTGAGCTGATAGCGGTGGTTGACACGTCTGGTGTCGCACTACAGGATCCATCAACATCGAGGACTGAAGCTCATGACCGGTCCTCGCCACCGCCGGAGTGATAATGAGGGAGTTTCTGACAGTCGCTCTACTTCTAATCTTGCTTATTTGTATTTTTGTGATATTGTGCATCTGAGGACAGTGCACATTCTTGAGTATGGGGTGGGGTGTCATATTTTGATATTTTTGACATGTGCTTAATTGCTAGTGATACATTTTTAATAGCATGATCACACTTACGGCCATTGTAATTGTATAATTTTAGTAATTTTTTTAGTGGCTCAATCCCGGATTTTCTTTAAACCATGGTTCTTTCTCGAGGATGCCATTTTCTTGAACCGGGTATTTTTAGGTAGATTTCTCAAACTTTGTAATCAAATTTGTGGACTTTTTCCAACGACTGATTTTCTAGACAGTTTTCTGGAGCGACTAAAGTCAAAAGAAAAAAACAAAAAGTTTTTTTTTTGTTTTTGTTTTTTTTGTTTTGTCTTCTTTCTTCTCTCCCCTATTCTTTTCTTGTTGAACTGATAATGGAACGGGAGAGCTTGAGTAATCTGTGTTTTTGACATGTTTTACATTAGGGCTTAGGTCCGGAGCATTTGCGCTGAGTACTTTTTTCTTAATTCTTGTGACTATATGCCTTGAGATTATATGTGACTTTCTTTTGACACTTGGGCTCGTCTATTGACTCTGTTGTTAATTCCTAGTATTTGAATGATATGATGATTGTGCTAATTATTTTAACTTGAGAGTCGGGTCTGAACCGTCCTGTGTAATTCATGTGCATTGTGTGAGGTGAGATTTTAGTTGTACTCTGTGGCATCCCTTGTTAGTCTAGAACTTGCCCTGTGTGTGAGTCGAAGCAAAATGATTAAGTCTTGTGAGTCTAGGAAATGATATAGGCATTTCTTTGATTGACCCTTCAGCCTGTATGCCTACCACTGATAACATTACCCGTAGTCAGCCCTTTTGAGCTTGCAGATCTTTTTGGCACCCATATTACTAGCCAACCCCTATTTTGTTCTAAATCATATCGTGTTCACCCTTTACCTTCGAAAGAGCTTAGTTGCTGAAAAAGTGAAGGAAGAGATTGGGTAGCTTTTGAGTGGAACCATAAAAAGGCCAAAAAGGTGCACTTGTGTTTAAAAGCCTTACTAGGCGGAAATACCAAACTAAGGAGAGTGTGAAAAAAAAAGAATGGCACTCCATATCCTTATTCGGGCTAGTGAGTATCTATATGTTGACGTGCTTATAAAAAATGGCGTAATTGTGTATGGTTTCTTGGCAAAATATTGAGTTGGTCATGACAAGAATGTGCTGGAAAACGTGGTGTATTAAAGTACTTAGGAGGGTTGGTCACTATTTTTCTATAAAGTGCAACTTGATCCTAGATTTTACAAGTTTAAATTAGTCGAGTGTTACACTACGGGCAAGCCTGTGGTATGAAAATCGGTGGCATATGAATTTCATTGCGAGAGTGAGTGAATTCTTTCAATATTTGAATCCTTATATTACACTTGAATTTTTATTTGAGTGTGTGGACTATTTATCTCTGTGGTTTGTTGGTAAGGGCACATGAGTTGCGAAGGATTGGTAAAGTCCTTGGTTTTTGAGTAAGCACAAGAAGCAAGTCATAGAATGGAATGTATTAGAGTCAATTTTCGAGGCTAGGATGTGAGAAGGGTCACACAAATATTTTAAATAGTCGTGGCATTGGTCTAAAAATGAGGAAAGATGTCAATCACTCTTGTGCTAGGGTCTAAGCGTTGATATAAACCATTGTCATTGCTACGAGGCTTGAGTATGCTTAGGAATTGTATTACTTGCCGATGTGCTTAATTTTGAGTTGCTCGAGGACGAGCAAAAATTTAAGTGCCGGGTGGTGATAAATGACTAAAAATGCACACTTTTAGTATAGTTTCATATCATTTTGTATGTGAGTTGTGATAAATCACAAGTTTATAAACGTGAAATATACTCATTATGTGTTTATCATGTGTAGGAGTAAATTTGGATGGAAGTTGGCAAGGATTAGATGATTTGATTCAAAAGGATAGAGTTGCAAGAGCCGGAAGTGTGCCACAATTGGTGCATTGCATGAAAGTAGGCGCGAAATGGCTTAGAAAACAAATAAAAAAACAGTGAAGTATGGAGGTTGGCACTGGACCTGGCACGCGAAAGAACAAAGGAAAAGAAGAAATAGCTGGGAGCGTGCCAGAAGTCGCGCGTTGCGCTGACACTGGCACGCGACTCAGCGTATTATTTTTGAATTAAGGGAGATTAAGGACGCCCCACATCAATCCTATTCGGTATAAATACAACTTCAAGCCATTTTTTGAAGGGTTACACAATATTTTGAGAGGCAAGAACATACAAGGAGCAAGACGGAGAATCATCTACGAGTTTTCATCTTCTTCTTCTTAATTCCGTTGT